AGGCCTGCCACAACATTATTATCCGCTACAGGTAGAGACAATTTTAATTTTAACTAAAATGCTTATTTTACTTCGAAATCTTTTGTTTTTATTTGAAATCTAACTTGTCTTTATGAAAATTACAAATCTAGAGCCATTTTCAGTTTCTTTGTTAACGAAGCGTTGAATGGCGCGCCCGGAGAGGCTTAGTTCAAACAATCATAGCAAATGTTGTGATAGGGATAGAGACATGCGATATTTGGTTTTATGAAGGTAATACGATAGAGAATAATACAAAGTAATAAAAACCACCGGTTATAGGGGCATTTTTTGGAGAAATTTATCAAATAACCAAAAAAACAGAAATCGATCTCAATTAGTTAAGCTTGATAAACACATACTGAGTACAGTAGAGCCTACACTGTTATATGGCGTTCCACAGGGTAGCGTCCTTGGACCTACCCTGTTTCTTTTATATATAAATGACCTAACCTCATTAAAACTTGATAATGCATCCATCGTTTCTTACGCCGACGATACGGCCCTCCTTTTCCATGGACAAAACTGGGCTGAAGTATACAATAAAGCGGAAGTAGGTTTACAAGTTGTAATAAAGTGGCTTAAATATAACTTATTAACACTGAACACCGGAAAAACAAATTACATGACTTTCTCTATTTTAAATCGTTTTCAACCACCGACTGACCTTCAATTAACAGCTCACGGATGCAATAACTACCCGGCTACTCCCTGCAACTGCACCGCCTTAACAAAAGTCTCATCTGTTAAATATCTCGGCATATATATTGATCAACAGCTTAACTGGCATAAACAGATTGAAAACTGTACATCACGTGTGAGGAAACTGATATGGCTTTTTAAATATCTTAGGCATGTCTCCGATAGACAACTTTTGATACAAATCTATAAAACCTTGGTGCAGTCTGTCATCTCCTATTGTCTACCCATCTGGGGTGGAACTCATAAAACCAAACTGATCCAACTTGAACGCGCCCAAAGATGCATTTTGAAAGTTTTATTACTAGTAAAACCTACTTACAGTACCGTAAAAATCTATGAAGACTGTAACGTGCTAACCATAAGGCAGCTATACATATTTCTATGTGTCTTAAAAACTCACAAAATCACAACTCCTGATCCTATTATTAATGCAAAACGTAATCCATACAATGTTATTCCAAATTTAAACATCCACACAAATTTGTCACGGAACCAATTTCAGTCTAGATCGATAACCCTATATAACCGGATAAATAGAATACTGCATATCTACAACATGTCCTGTAATGAAGCTAAGAAAAAAATTTACGACTGGTTGAAACAGATGGACTATATGGAAACTGAAAAACTATTGATTTGTGAATTATGATCTTAATTAAAAGCAGTGCGATTTCTTATGTTTTTCATAGAGATTTTTATAAAATTTTGTTTATAACATATTGCTGAGCTTCGTGGAATTGTTAAACGTAAAATTATTAGTTACCTACTCATGTTAGAAATTTTAAACATTGTGAAGAGCAGCTTTATCCTAGGACAAGTTTTTAAAAACTTAAATGGATAAGGCTAATTTGTAATGACAATGTAACATGTGTTTCATAATTAAGTATTTGTATTTGTATTTTGTACTAGCTTTCCGCCCGCGGCTTCGCCCGCGTGGAATTTTGTCTGTCACAGAAAAACTTTATCGCGCGCGTCCCTGTNTCAAATAACCAAAAAAACACGAATTTTTAAGCAGATTTTTTTCAAAAAGTATCATTTTTTATTATTTGTTGGCATTTTTTGTGTATTTTATGTATTTTTTTAGTATCGCCTGTTATTTGGCATTATCACTGTTTTTATTTTATCAGGATATACCTCTTAGTTTTAAAGTTATTACGTTTTCTTTACAATAAGTAATTGGAAGAAAAAAAATTCTATAAAAAATTTAAAAAAAATCTCAAAATAATTTTGACCTCTTTTTTGTCGATAAAAATAGGTCTAGTTTCATCTATTTTCATATGTACACTTTAACGTGACTCACACTGTATATTGATCAACAGCTTAACTGGCATAAACAGATTGAAAACTGTACATCACGTGTGAGGAAACTGATATGGCTTTTTAAATATCTTAGGCATGTCTCCGATAGACAACTTTTGATACAAATCTATAAAACCTTGGTGCAGTCTGTCATCTCCTATTGTCTACCCATCTGGGGTGGAACTCATAAAACCAAACTGATCCAACTTGAACGCGCCCAAAGATGCATTTTGAAAGTTTTATTACTAGTAAAACCTACTTACAGTACCGTAAAAATCTATGAAGACTGTAACGTGCTAACCATAAGGCAGCTATACATATTTCTATGTGTCTTAAAAACTCACAAAATCACAACTCCTGATCCTATTATTAATGCAAAACGTAATCCATACAATGTTATTCCAAATTTAAACATCCACACAAATTTGTCACGGAACCAATTTCAGTCTAGATCGATAACCCTATATAACCGGATAAATAGAATACTGCATATCTACAACATGTCCTGTAATGAAGCTAAGAAAAAAATTTACGACTGGTTGAAACAGATGGACTATATGGAAACTGAAAAACTATTGATTTGTGAATTATGATCTTAATTAAAAGCAGTGCGACAGACGGACAGACGGACAGACGGACAGACGGACAGACGGACAGACGGACATGACGAAACTATAAGGGTTCCGTTTTTGCCATTTTGGCTACGGAACCCTAAAAAGTGGTTGAAAACATGCGAGAAAAAGAATTGAAACAGGTTTTAGGTCATATTTTGAAAAAAAAAATAAAATAAAAACAAAATCATCAATTTAAAAAAAGTAGCTCACTTAGGGTAAAATGCAAACCTTTGCCAACCAATAACACTGTGAAGTACCTGGGTTTGCACCTTGATAGAAGGCTAATCTGGGTAAATCGTGTTAAAGCCAAGAGAACTGAAGCAAATATGCAACTCAGGAACCTGTCATGGCTGATAGGACGACAATCCCGACTCTCTATCAACAACAAACTGCTCGTCCACAAGTCTATTATCAAACCAATCTGGACCTACGGAATAGAACTCTGGGGATCTGCTAGCAACTCCAACCTGGAAATATTACAGAGATTCCAAAACATTGCATTGAGAACAGTCTCGAGCGCCCACTGGTTTGTGAGAAACGCAGAAATACATGAATACCTTGAGATGACGACTGTTAAGGAGGAAGAGCAACTACAGCAAAAAGTACAGGCAGAAATTCGACAGACATAGCAACGCGCTGGCCAAGAACCTGCTAATGGACGAAGATACAAAGCGCCTCAAGAGATGGCACATCCTCGAGCTCAACGAGAGAAAGTAGAGCTTTTACCAGTGATGGACTTTGCTATTCAATGGAATACCAGTCAAATAATCCGCTCCCAGAACACATCTAATTATGGCTATGGATGGCCGATCGTAGATAATAAGAGGAAGAAAAAAAAACTTAGGGTAAAATGGGCGAACTTGTAAATTCTTAAAATGACCTTCTTACCTATAGGTAGCTACACCCACGAAGATTGTCTAACCTTTCACCAAACACCCTGTATACTGTGGTTTTGGCTTGGCTATCTCGTTTTCTCGTTCGTTAAAATCCCCGTGGCGGGGAATCCCCGTGACCCCATCTCGCTTGTGTCGCACGCATCGCATCGGGTTGCGTTCATAAACTCTCTCATAGTCATAAAAAAATTGTATGACAAACTCGGCGCCTCTACGGTCCAAAATAACTAGTACTTTATCTGAGGTTCAAAAGAACTTCCGCCGTTTTAACGTTTAGTAATGTAAACTAAAACCCTAAGCGTAAAATGAAACCATAAACGTGAATCATAATAAACATAATATAAATATTGAGAGACTTGTTTAATAAGCGTAATATTTGTTTTGTTGTGTACAAGGCCTATGTTGCGCATACTGTACCTACTTACTCGATACTCCATTTAAAAAAAATTAGGTGGCAGTAGCGGCGCGGCGCCCCTATTGTCTTGGCGCCTGTGTGCGCCGCACACATCGCACACAGGGGCGGCGCGGCCCTGCTCTGAACTCTTCTTACGCTGTTAGGGTTGCTGTCTAGTGAAAAAATAATTAATCTACTTATTTGTAATGAGGTACGTATGTAGGTAAGTACGCATTCATTATGGAAAACTTTGGGAGAGGCCTTTGTCCAGCAGTGGACGTCATTTGGCTGAAACGAACGAACGCATTCTTTATGAGCAGTAGTCATGGTAGGTTAGGTTCCTATACTATCCTAAGATTTATTGATTACCTACATGGCCAACATACCTTTCAGCATCTTTGGGAAGCGAAAAAAAAGATAAATCCGGTAGATTTATTTTCGAATTTAAACACTCGAACGCCGCACAATAACATTTCTTTCTCTTTATGTCCATTTTTAAATAATACTTCGATCATAGAATTAGTTACTACAACGCACGCCAGCGTCCTGACGGGCGCGCGCGTGACACTCGACTGATATAATACCCGCCGGCGGGGCGCTTCGCTGTAGGTAATTATCGGATGTACCGCGCGCAGTGAGCCAGGCCTGGCGTCAGTGGATATCGGAAGAAATAAAATACATTGCGCAGTAGTTACGCATGACATAAATAGTAGTAGTAGTTCTTCGTTTCACTTATGTTATTGCACGTTACGACGCATTATCCAACAATATCGGAGAACATTTCCTCAGTACGACTGAATCGCGACTAACCTGGCGTCGCGGGCGATGTTCGTTTCTGGGCATATCGCGGAGACACGCGCCACGCCCCCGTTTCACATCTATTCCCTTCTATGATCTGAGGTGTCAGAGCATCTCAGTAGATACCTAATGCCACGACACTGGCCTTCCGTGCAAACTGGTCGTCTTCATCGGCCACTGGGTAACAGAAATCCCTAGGTACATCACTTGTGAACATTTCAAGCTATATCATCTAGTTAGCTATGTCAGTGCCTAATTTAATCGTTATTATTTCAGATGATGGTTTAGTGCGAATAGGCCCTAAAGGCTATTTCTTTAACGGCAGAATGAAAACTGATGCAGCTCCAATCTATAATATGTCCATAAGATCCGACGATGTATTCGTAGTGGCGTTCCCGAAGTCAGGTTTGTACAATGTTATTTCGGTAAAGTTTTATAGCAGCTTGATAAGCTGGATGTCTTCATAGTTTCTATTTAAGTAAGAGCTGTGGTAAGAGTAACTGCGAAAATGTGAACGAATACATTGACAGGTTCGTGGAAATTGTCCAAACGACTGGGTCTAAGTTCTTTAAAACCCGTCGTTCAAAAGAAACCAAAAAGATCTCTGACTTCACCGAGACCTTCTGAGAGACGAAACATGGTTCTGCAGTCCTCTGAGGATGCTGCTCAGTTGGCGTCTTAACAGACAGATTTCCAAGTCTTTGACTCGCAACCTACGCCAATTTATTACAGATCGTATTAAAGAGGCGATTGAGCGTAACAAAGGCTCTAAAGTGTTCGCTGAAGACCGAGGATGGCAGAGACATCTCGTCGGGGCCTGAGTTATTAGAAGAGGTTGAGAAGTTCTACGGACAATTAACACGTGTGTACGTACACCTGTCACAAATCTAGCCGAAGACCCAAGAGCTAGATTGACCCGACACTACACCGAAGATATCCCGGACGTCAGTCTGTACGACACTAGAATGGCCCTCAAATAGCTGAAAAACAACAAGGCACCGGGTGATGATGGAATCACGGCTGAGCTTCTGAAAGCAGGCGGAACGCCGGTACTAAAGGCTCTTCAGAGGCTGTTCGATTCCGTCATACTCGAGGGAAAAACGCCTACGGCATGGCACAGAAGTGTGGTGATACTTTTCTTAAAAAAAGGCGACAAAACCTTGTTGAAAAATTATAGACCCATTTCAATTCTGAGCCATGCCTACAAGTTGTTTTCGAGAATCATCACGAATCGTCTCGCACACAGGCTCGACGACTTCCAGCATTCCGAACAAGCCGGTTTCCGTAAAGGCTTTATTATGTATCATAGACCGCTATACATACGCTACGGCAGATTATACAGAAGACCGAGGAGTATAATCAGCCACTTGTCTGGCGTTTGTGGACTATGAAAAAGCCTTCGACTCGATCGAGACCTGGGCAGTGCTACAGTCTCTGTAACGGTGCCAAATTGAGATACATCGAAGCGCTGAAGGGCTTGTAAGAAAACGCCACAATTTCGGTCCGCCTCCAGGATCAAAACTCGAAACCTATCCAGTTGCAGCGAGGGGTGAGACAGCGAGGGGTGTCATATCTCCGAAACGTTACTGTTCACCATCGCCCTGTAAGATGTTTTCAAGCTTCTGGACTGGAGCGGATTCGGCATAAATATCAACGGCGAGTATATCACCCACCTTCTTTTCGCGGACGATACCGTAGTCATGGCTGAGACTCAATACTCAATATGTTTATTGCTTCCTTAATAGTACATTTAGATGTTACATAATTACACTCGACAGCAAATAAATCGCACCACCCGCGACAAGCACTTTCAAACGTATGCATCCCCACTTCACACCAATATTGGTACCATTCAAAAGCCTAGTTCTAAACTTCATTTCATTATAGGAAAGGTTTTTACCCCAAAAATGTTTCTTTAGAAGGATCCAGAGTCACTTCTTCAAAAAATAGATAGTTACGCTTGAGCCAACTTTTATGGCTATAAAACTGTTAAGTTGGGATTAATCGCTATCCATCTGTTAAAGAGGACACGTGTGATCATTATTTGGTTTTAGGTATAACCTGCTGCTCGCAGAACGCATCCAGTATGACTAGAAGAATATTAATTATAATTTAGAAGCTTTTGGAAACTTTCATAATAAGTTACGTTTTATTCCAGGTACCACTTGGGTCCAGGAGCTCGTGTGGTTAATTGGAAATAATTTTGATTACGAAACAGCTGCAGCTATCCCTCTTATTCAAAGATCTCTATTTTTAGAGTAAGTAATCTACATATACAGGGTGGAAACGTTAAGTGATCTCATTCAATTATTTCTAAACTATACAAGATATTGAAAAACTGGTTACTGATCCTGAAAGTGCTTCATGAGCTCTTTCAAACGGTACCAATAATAGGTTACAGAATAAACTGGTTCTATCTGAAAATTCAATGTTTCCAGTTTCCATACTAAATGTATGCCAGACACACAATATTAGAAGTCTAATTTTTTTTAATGATTCATAAACTCTTAATATAAACTCGTAAATTGTATTCTTATTTAAAATGATTCATGGAAAACATTGATTTTAGGCTTTATTTGCTATAATATTGTCAAGAGATGAGTGTCATGACTGTGGTAGTACTAAATGTATGAAAGAAGGAAACATTGAATTTTTGGATAGATTCAGTTTATTCTGTAACCTATTATTGATACCATTGGATAGAGCTTGTGAAGCACTTTTAGAATCAGTAATCAGTTTTATGATATCATGTGTAGTTTTTAAAATAATGTGACTTTACCAAATGTATGGAAACTGGAAACATTGAATTTTCGGATAGATCCAGTTTATTATGTAACCTATTATTAGTACCGTTGGATAGAGCTCATGAAGCACTTTCAGGATCAGTAACTAGTTTATTGATATCTTGCATAGTTTAGAAATAATCGAGTGAGATCACTTATCGTTTCCACCCTGTATATAGGTACCCACTTATAATAAATCTGTAGAGGTCAATTCTGTACATGAAATATATTTTCAAAATAACTATCAGGGGGTGATTAGTGATCGATACTGATGCCGAAAATGCAATCAGTAAAATTTTTGTCTGTCTGTCTGTCTGTATGTTCCTTATAGAAACAAAAACTACTCGACGTATTTTAACGAAACTTGGTACAATTATTATTTGTACCCCTGGGCAGGTTATAGTTAGGAATTCCCACGGGAACGGGAATTGGCGGGAAAATCCTTTTGTATGAAAAATCTAAACCGCTTAAGTTAGACACTAAATTTGGCATGCAGATATCTTAGTAAACTTAAAGCTTAGTTACAACAGGATATTGCAAAATTTCCACGGGAAAGGGAATTAGCGCGAAAATTCTTTTGTATGAAAAATGTAAACCGCTTAAGTAAGACGCTTGAAATTTGGCATGCAGGTACCTTAGTAAACTCAAAGCTTAGTTACAACAGGATATTGCAAAATTCCCACGGGAACGGGAGTTAGCGGGAAAAACATTTTTATGAAAAATTCTAAACCGCGTAAGATAGATGAAGGGGGTAAAACGGGATCCACGCGTACGAAGTCGCGGGCGGCCGCTAGTAAACAATAATACTGTAAAGTTTCATCAAAATCCGTTAAGTAATTTTCGCGTGACAGTCATCCAGACATCCAAACTTTCGCATTTATAATATAAAGTAGAATCAGCACTTATATTACCGCCTCCTTATTCCCTTCACCAAAAACTGTTTGATTTCAGGCTTTCAAGTTTTCTCAACGGCGGAAATACTCCGAAAGTATTATTAGAAAATTTAAAAGGCGATGAAAAAGAAATACAGTTTTTGAAAGAATCGCGAAAACCAAATTATAAATTGGTAGAGGCGCTGCCGTCGCCGCGCTTCGTGAAGTCGCACCTGCCGCTGTCGCTGCTGCCGCCCGGCTTGCTGCGCGCGCGCGTGGTCTACGTGGCGCGCGACCCGCGCGACGTCGCGGTCTCGTACTACCACCACATTCTACTTTTTAAAAGATATGGCTTCACTGGCGATTTCAAAAATTACTGGGATTATTTTAGAAAGGATATGCGTACGTTTTCATATAGGGGAGAGTTCGGTATATTGTACCGCCGGGTAAATTGTACCACCCTCATATTTCGTAAAGTATTTATTGAATGTTCCTTGAACATTGGCCATATGTTTTTTTTCCGTGTCAATTAACACGTGTGTTTTATTTTGAAAAGATTATTTTAATTGTTTTCAAGTAACTTTTGAGAATGCATGTTTAGTTTGTAATTTTGTCAAATTTAATCACACATTGTTTTTAATTTATTAATTAGAAGCGTAAATTAGTGTGGATTACAATTTTTTGAAACATTTTTCGGTATTTATGAGCTCTATTTTTTACCGATTCTTTAAAAGCACTATCATCCAATCGGTTAAATTGTACCACATCAAGTTGTATGGAATTTTAGTAAATCATATTTTGAAGTTATAAAAGCATAATTATGTTTGGCTAACAATAAATAAAAGCAAAGTAGATTAGGTACCAGTGTGCGTTACAATAATCGGAATTACAAAACTTATACTGAAAATCGTGATAACTTGTAAAATAATATCGATTGTCTATGTTATTAGCTATTGTTCCTTTTCGTTACCTCATTTGTTAAGAATGTATCGTATAATATTTTGCCATAGTTTTTTTATAGGCTTGAAATTTATCCAAATCCAATTTAGTAACCCTGTGGTACAAATTATCGAACCGGTTGGCTAAATTGGACCGAAGCTCTGAACTCGTATTTTGTTGATTTGTGCTAAATATACAACAATAATATCAATTAATACCTATGAAATAGTAAGTTGAATAATTTCTCTTTTATTATATACCATGGACATTAGCTAAAACAAATCAAAACTATGTGTAAAATGGGATTGAAAAAAACTGGTCCAAATTACCGGGCTCTCCCTTATGTTTTAATTATGAATATTAAAACTGTATTTAGATCAACCCGCCTGCCGAGCGTGGGGATTATGGCAAAACCCTCCGCTATAGTGGAGGAGGCTCATAGTCCAGCAGTGGACTGTAAAGGGCTGTTGATGATGATGATTTAGATCAGATCATACAAGGGAAGAGGCATTTGTCCAGCAGTGGATGTCCTTTCGCTGAAATGGAAACATTATGTTAATTTTATAATTTTAGTTAACTGGACTCCATACTTTGAACATATAAAAGAAGCGTGGGATAAACGAGATCATCCAAACATGCTGTTCCTTTTCTACGAAGAACTATTGGAGGTAAAGTTTGGTAATAAGGTCATGAGAGTAGTATAAGGTAACTTGCATACATTTATCTATGGATAAATTGAGAAAATACATTTTACAATACTTATTTAACAAAATTGTAATATGTGGATGAGCCTGACCCCACTTTAAAACACCCGGTTCCAGCCAGTCTATTTTTCTCATCCGGAAATTAGACCCACCATTAATCAAAATAAGAAACTAAGTGGTCGCATATTTCTGTGTCTCAGGTTTCTTTCTTGAGTTGAGAATACAAATCCTTCGCTTGAGCATATTAATGACGATTTTTCATAACAAAATAAACTTTGCAGGACCTGGCCGGCGCGGTGCGGCGCGTCGCGCAGTTTCTCGGCGCGCCCGTGAGCGAGGAGCAGGTGGTGCGCCTCTGCGATCATCTCAGCTTCCACAACTTCAAAAACAACAAATCCGTCAACTTAGAAGTCATGAGGGAAGCGGGGTTAATGAGCGAAGACGGACATTTTATTAGAAAAGGTAGACTTAAGGCAGAGTTGTACCACTTAACTTTAACCATAACTATAACGATAACCGGTGCTTTTGTATGGAGTTTCAAGACTTGGACGTTTGTTATTGTTATAGTTTTATTAAAGAATAAGCATTAACTGATCATGTTGAGATGACTTACACTTGTTTCCAGGCAAGGCGGGCGGCTGGCGCGAGTACTTCGACGAGCAGATGGCAGCGCAGGCGCAGCAGTGGATCGACGTCAACCTGCGAGGGACTGACCTGCGCTTCCCGAGTATCAAGAAATAGAATATTTATTTTATAAATGGGTATTTTATTAATTAATTCTAAAATAAAATAAAAATATCGAAAGTCCAAAAATCCAGAGAACACACCTAGCAATAAAACTAAAAGGCTGACCTTTACCTTTTAAGACCGACGAAAATTAACCAATTTCAATAACGGAAAAACAATGAAAGAAAATGAACCCAAAACCCTGTGACGTTTATTTTCTCGATGAAAGAGAGTGGGAGAAAAGACCATCATTTCATTTATTAATACTATGACGTTTTGCAGCGGAGTTACGGTAAAGCTGAGAATGGGTTTCCAGGCTTCTTAACATAAACACCATTCTTGACTAAGTATCTGTGCCCGCTCCTTCACGCCTGAAAATAGTTCCTTTTCCCATTTTTGCAATAATTTTTCAATGGTAATTATTTGACAAAAATATTTTTTAGAATCAATATGGGTAGGTGGTATTTCCTGAGATTAGAGCATGGTTCATCAATCAAACAAACTTTTCAGTGTTTTATTGCCGCCTACTCATTTAGATTAATTTCAGGACTTGAAAGTACATAGGTACCTACCCACTAAATGATTTTTAACATAAAAAAATCCATACTATACTATATTACTATTTACTATATTATATTACTATATACTACTATATATTAATATTATAAATGGGAAAGTAACTCTGTCTGTCTGTCTGTCTGTCTCTCTTTCACGTCAAAACTACCGAACCGATTTGAATGAAATTTGGTACACAGATAGTCTATAACCTGTACCTGAGAAAGGCTAGGCATAGGCTACTTTTTATTTTAAAAGGGGTTGAATGGGGTCAAAAGGGGGATGAAAGTTTATATTAGCCGATTTGAATGAAATTTGGTAGACAGTTAGTCTAGAGCTTGGGACAGGACATAGCCTACTTATTATTATAAAAAAGGGGTTGTTAGGAGTTAAAAAGGGGATGAAAGGTTATATGAACCGATTTGAATATACAGTTAGTCTAAAGCCTGGGAAAGGTCATGGGCTCAAAAAGAGGTTGTAAGGTGTAGATGGATGTGATGTATTTGTGATTGAAACTCGCTTTCTTCGATACTCAGCGTTTATAACATGAAATAACGTATACAAATATTTGATGTTCGCGGTTAGAGGAATGGTAGTCAAGTGGGGTAGGCGCCGGGCGCGATCGCAACCGTTATCTGTCGGTTTCGTGCGTAGTGATGTGCGCGCTCGCTAGTGATGTCGTAATCGATTTCTGAACATGCCCCCCGCCTTGGAGCAGCTGCCTCCAACGGTTATTCTTCTGGCATTAATGGGCATAATCTCTGGTAGCTTCTTCTTATGATTCCGCTTTCAGTTTTTACGTCTGCCACTCGAGCTAGTCCATCTTCTCCCGGGAAGGTTTGTGTTACTCTTCCTAGTCGCCATTTTAGTGGTGGCAAGTTGTCCTCTTTTATGAGCACCAGAGTGTTAGGCGCCAAGTTGTCCTGGTTAATCTGCCATTTGGTTCTGGTCTGCAGTTCCCCGATGTACTCCTTCGTCCAGCGCTTCCAGAAGTTCTGCCGCATTTGTTCGACGCGCTCGTACCGGTTCAAGTGAGGCGTAGATGCAGTCGTGATGTCTTTGTAGCCAGGCGCAACAAGCGGTCGGCCAACCAGGAAATGGGCTGGAGTGAGTGGAAGTAGGTCGTTGGGATCGGTCGACATGGGATACATGGGTCTGGAATTAAGGATTGCTTCGATTTGTGCCAATAATGTTGAATATTCCTCATAAGTGAGGTTCGCGTTCCCTAACCGACGCAAATGGTGTTTGGTCGACTTGACCCCTGCCTCCCACAAACCACCAAAATGGGGCGAATACGGTGGAATGAAGCTAAATTTGATATTCTCANAGTTGTAATAAAGTGGCTTAAATATAACTTATTAACACTGAACACCGGAAAAACAAATTACATGACTTTCTCTATTTTAAATCGTTTTCAACCACCGACTGACCTTCAATTAACAGCTCACGGATGCAATAACTACCCGGCTACTCCCTGCAACTGCACCGCCTTAACAAAAGTCTCATCTGTTAAATATCTCGGCATATATATTGATCAACAGCTTAACTGGCATAAACAGATTGAAAACTGTACATCACGTGTGAGGAAACTGATATGGCTTTTTAAATATCTTAGGCATGTCTCCGATAGACAACTTTTGATACAAATCTATAAAACCTTGGTGCAGTCTGTCATCTCCTATTGTCTACCCATCTGGGGTGGAACTCATAAAACCAAACTGATCCAACTTGAACGCGCCCAAAGATGCATTTTGAAAGTTTTATTACTAGTAAAACCTACTTACAGTACCGTAAAAATCTATGAAGACTGTAACGTGCTAACCGTAAGGCAGCTATACATATTTCTATGTGTCTTAAAAACTCACAAAAACACAACTCCTGATCCTATTATTAATGCAAAACGTAATCCATACAATGTTATTCCAAATTTAAACATCCACACAAATTTGTCACGGAACCAATTTCAGTCTAGATCGATAACCCTATATAACCGGATAAATAGAATACTGCATATCTACAACATGTCCTGTAATGAAGCTAAGAAAAAAATTTACGACTGGTTGAAACAGATGGACTATATGGAAACTGAAAAACTATTGATTTGTGAATTATGATCTTAATTAAAAGCAGTGCGATTTCTTATGTTTTTCATAGAGATTTTTATAAAAATTTGTTTATAACATATTGCTGAGCTTCGTGGAATTGTTAAACGTAAAATTATTAGTTACCTACTCATGTTAGAAATTTTAAACATTGTGAAGAGCAGCTTTATCCTAGGACAAGTTTTTAAAAACTTAAATGGATAAGGCTAATTTGTAATGACAATGTAACATGTGTTTCATAATTAAGTATTTGTATTTGTATTTTGTACTAGCTTTCCGCCCGCGGCTTCGCCCGCGTGGAATTTTGTCTGTCACAGAAAAACTTTATCGCGCGCGTCCCTGTTTCAAAAACCGGGATAAAAACTATCCTATGTTCTTTCCCGGGACTCAAACTATCTCTATGCCAAATTTTATCAAAATCGGTTGCGAGGTTTAAGCGGGAAAGCGTAACAGACAGACAGACAGACAGAGTTACTTTCGCATTTATAATATTAGTTGGGATTGTATCTACATCATATTGTGAACTTTACAGTTGATTCAAGGCACTGTATAATAGAGTAAAGATATCTAACAAACTCAACTCTTACGAGTCCAGAAATTACATCAAAGTATTATTATGTTTTTTTTTTCAAAATCTAAAGAGATTTTCTTTTTGCGGTCGTTAAGATGTATTTTAAAAACGCATTTATAATTTCTAAGTTCCTACTTTGAACTGTCCTGAGTTCGTGTTACAATGTTTATATTTAAATTTTTCAGGCAACATTCAGATCAAAAATCTATCTTAAGCCTCAAACAATTAACTCAATCAAACAAATTACACTATTTGACGTTAAGTAAATACACAAAAAAGATCTCTATGATTTTAGCGTGGATTCAACTCAAAACCCATTGATCCCGAAACGTCGGTCAATCAAGAGTCAAAGCTGAAAACATTCGGCTGACACCGAGTTAATTAAAGTGACAATCACATTCTGAATTCGTTAATGTGTGCGCTGGATTCGTTTGATTGACTTTTTGTTACGTGTTTGGCTATTTTGTATCTTTTTCGATGTGCAAAAAGCAGAGGTTTGTTTTGAACAAAGTGGCAGTGGGCAGGCCACACGGCTTGCAGTTGGGGCGGAAAAATTCTCGAGTGGCGACCATGGGCCGGAAGACGTAGTATAGGCGGGCCTCCTCCACTGGGTGGACCGACGATCTAGAGAAGGTCGCGGAAAGCACGTGATGATGGCAGCGCTGGACCAGTAGTTGTGAAAATCCTTGGTGGAGGCCTGTGTTCAGCAGTGGATGTAATTTGACTGAAACTAACGAACGAGATCTTTGTTTCAAGGTGACTCGTTATTCATTTATATGTACAAAATATAGAGCTTTTAGTTCACTTTTTGCAACAAGGGCGCCCAAAAACATCAGCAACTCAATCAAAAGTCAAACGCGAAACATTCGCTGGCTGACACCAACATAATATTATAATTAAAATGACAGTCGCATTCGCAATTCGTTAACGTGTGCACTGGGTTCGTTCGATTGACTTTTGCTTTGTGTGATTGTATACGTGTAATAGGTACCTAGTTGTATAAGTTCCATTTTGTGCATAAAGCCTTGACTTGGTCACTTTGTCCTACCAAAAATGGTTTTTGTTTGTAGAATAATTTGATTCAAACTCAAAAAGTTTGATATTAGCCCCAAACAAGATCGCCGTTCTCACCTAGATTTTCCAAACTACCTGCCATTCCAGCAAGTGCAGTCTGAACTTTTCCCAGGAATTAATTTAACTTCTAACTGTACATTTTCTTTTTCTCAAATTCTTTTAACTAGGTATTGCTTAAGAGGCTCTTAGGAAAAGATTTTAATCACGTGGAAAGAATTTTCCTTAAATCCTACTTTTATTTTAATCCAATAATGTTGGAGGCAACTTTCCTTTCTACTTAAGATAAAAGTAAGTTTTATTTTGGGTATTAACATCGACATCATATTTTTCAAACAGAATATTATATTTACATCTTTTTTTTTTAACGGTTAATGTCTACTTTACATTTCACATTTAGAGAATACTTATAACCTTGACATTCTTATGTAGCCAAGAAAAATATTTTATTCATAAATGTTTATAATAAGTAGGTAAAAGGCAAAACAATGCTATGTAGCGTTCCTAAGGGTAGATTTTCCATTGCCACTGCCATTGGCTAAAATAATGATTATCATGATACGTAGTAGGTACTTAATTTATTATGTACAGCTGCTTCCAAACTGTATGAACGTATGCAAGACAAACAAAACACGAAACAGAAGTTTTTACTAATTCAGCTGTCAACATCATCATCAGTTTAGCCACAAGACGTCATCTTGATTGGAAGGTTGGTATCTTTATGTTGTCTGTCAAATTGACAAACGATTTAATTTATATTATTTTCTTGACTATCTATCTTTCTGTATATTATGTATTTCATGTGGAACAAAACACATAGTATAATACTAGCGGCCGCCCGCGACTTCGTACGCGTGAATCCCGTTTTTCCCGCTAATTCCCGTTCTCGTGGGAATTTCGGAAATTCCTTTCTTAGTGCACCTCTACGGTACCTAAGCTACGTCCCTTCCAAATTTCAAGTGCCTACGTTTAGCCGTTTAGGCTGTGCGTTGATCTGTCAGTCAGTCAGTCAGTTTCTCCTTTTATATATTTAGATACGGTACATGAATTCTCGTCTTCACAAGACAAAATGGAATCGTAGGGATTGCACCGCATGCTCTGGGAATATGCGGAACATTAATTAAAGCGATTAATGCTCGGAATGTATCCCAGACTGTTCTACAAGCTCGAATTAAGTTGAAGGAATGCCCTATTTACTGATTTATTAGAGTTGTTTATTTGACTAAAATTAAGAGAATGCAAAGAAAATGATGAAGATTTAAGTAGATACTTGTAGCTGGCTAAGGCCCGATTCGACCAAACTTTTATCCAAGAATAGCTCCTGGTATAACTGGACTGGCACATTGACAGTTTCAGTATGGGATTAATGTCAAAATGTCGAATAACTGATGATTTATTCTGGGATTAATATTTACTCTTGTTTAGTCAAATCCACCCTAAATGAAAAAAAAAGCTAGATCAGACTTTGTGGCGGTTCTCGGGGGAGAAATTATGATGTAGTCATGATGATAAACAAATGAATAATAGTACAATTTAGTGTTTCATACAAAATACTGCTGTATTCCTGCAGCTTGAAACTTTTATGGTCTCTATCAATTCCTCTAATACACTTTGAAGCGACGCTGTGTACATTTGCTTTAATTTATATTTAATAAAAAGTTGGCGAAGCGAAAATTAAATAAAATCGAGAAATATATTCCATTGTTCAGTTACAAGAATTGATTTTTTTTTTACTAGAATTTATTTGATTTTACTTGATAATTAGGTGCAAACGAAGTCTTGATCCAAAATTTTTTGAGCTATCAGGCAAAATGAAATACCAGGGATTGATGCTAAAGCCTTCAAAATTGAGTACAACTATGCCACAAGTCGTGAAATGAACTCATAATTTAATGTAACAGATATTCACGAAAACTGACAATCATTACACCTTTCATAAGAGTTTCTCAACTTTTTAAGAAAAAAACCTGTCTTCACTTACCTGTCACACCACTCGCCCGAAGGTGCCTTATGTGTCATGCCGTTGATTTATTCAGACGTTCAATTTGTGGCATATTTGTAAGCGGCTTAGCGTCAATCGGGCCCTTTGTCAAAGTTGTCAAGAGCGAGCCCCTTGTTAGGTTTCAGTTCTGAAATATTTATGGACGATGTTGTGGTGCTTCGCGAATTGGAACTTCTTAAACTCTTCGTTGGGACGAGAAAGTTACAAAACTGGGAAACGGTATTTGTCAATGCATTCATTCAGTAAGGTATTTAAAGCTCTACACCAATTTATCAAAGCAAAATCTAGGCAGAGTGTTATATTGGTGATGGATGATAAATAAATTATGTCGACTGAGATGACTACAAGTAGGTACACATTATACTCACAGTGCTCAAGCTCATTAAATAATATTTGGCCTATTGTAGGATTTACAGCTAAACTGATGCAAATTAACTGACTGACTAGACAGCCGTCTTTTCCACAAACGAAATTATTAAATTTTACACTGGCAATCTGGCACTCATTTTGGTATGATTTTCAAAATTACAAAT